TTTTTTTTTTTTTTTTTTTTTTTTTTTTTTTGCCATCCCTCTATGCTAAAAAAAAACAGATTTTCAAGACGACGTTGGCGACAAACATTGATGCGACTAATGATGACGATGTATCATCCGTTCAGGAAGAAAACGATCATTTCTCTAGGCACCTCTTTGCCTCTACGGTGTTATCAATGTGAGAAGACAGCTTTGAAAAGTATTCAATACACAGCTTTCCAGTAATGGTTAGCTCAATAACTTTTTCTTCTGTTTATCGACTTTCTCTGGATCAATATAGTTATTTTCTAAGGAACGTCAAATTAAACGTAGGCGGATTTAAATGTTTAAAACCGAAGTTAAGATACAACTACGACGACACGTATCATACACTCACAAATTTTTTTCGACGAGTTGTAAATTACTCTAAGTGACTGCCAGAAATGCATAGCATTTTACTTTTAACTGCAAAAAGAAGTAAGTAATTGTGAAAAAAAGTATTTGGATCAAAGGCAACAACGATCGATGTTTCATTTGTAAAAAAAAGTGAGTTTAATTATACTGTTGAGGTAAGACCCAAATTACTTATCAGATTTATACGGTTATCAAAAATCGCGGCCTGCAGTTCAAAGCATAAATGTATGAAAAATGCCTCTCGATATAAATATCAGCTCGACATTTCTTTCTGCTTAAGCCAGACATCCGCAACTAATTTTATACGGTAATTTTGGTATATTCGTTATAGAAGAATAAGCTTTCAGCTGTATTTCAGACATCTGACTAAAAATTGGTAATGCTTTATGCGAAAACACAAGTGGGATTTCATTTTGCTTAGTTAGCTAAACAGTTCTAACTTATCAACACTGTACCATAATTGCACTATTACTATCACTCAGCAGTTACTAGGCTAAGAGCCATCCATTTAAAGATTTTGATTTTAAAATTGTCTCTACAGCTTTACTACCGTAATTTGTCGCTCAAAATACGGAAACCATTTTTTTCACAACTTTTTTTTTTTATTCCGATGGCACTTAAGCTTTATGTTGAACCGAAAAAGTCGCATGAAGACACGTTTAGTTTCCAATAGTTATGTGGAAAACAACTACCATCCAAAGGTTCGAAGACAAAAATCCTCTCTAAACTACTCCTAGAGAAAAATGCCTGATAAAAAATTGGTTTTCATCAGTTTTTAATCCAACAATGCGGTATCAGTATTGACCGATGATTTCTTCAAAATGTATAATGCCAATGACGCACCAGTGAAAGTTTCAAAAATTCAAACGACTTATTATTTGGAGTATCACTTGAGGATATTAAGATAAATGTGAATAACTGTTCAGTAGTCACTCTCTCGCAACTGTATGTCAGAATTGCGCAATATGGTGGCTATACTGTGGTGCTAGTTGAGCTTGCATATTTATCTTCAACAATTCACAGATTCTATTTGACAGTAATGTAAAGGTTATTAGCTTTGAACAACTGACCAACTGAGTGAGTAGTAACTAATATTTCTAAAATTTATTGTGTGTATAGCTGTTCCACAACAATCACTTATCTCTGAAGTAAAGTTGAAAATATTAGCACTGAACTGATGTTACATTCTTATAAGTTTTCAAAAAATAAATTCGACAGCTCAAGATTCGGTATTATGCGCAAATAATGCCCAATTGATTGGAATTTATATTGCCATTAAGCCTCGTCTTTCCACAAACCGCTTTAGTAAACCACAATTGAATTCAGCATTTGGCAATTTTCAATCCTCGGTTATAACTGTCTGAAGAGCTAAAAGTTTCAACAAAATTGCTAAAATCTGAAGATAAAAAAACCAACTAGTTGCAGTAGTCTCTACATCTGTTGTTTTTTATTAACCGAAACAATTAAAGAAACAAAAATGAGGTGGTGATACAAAAATTCAAAGAATGCAAAAATTAATTGCAAAGATGGAATATTTCAATAGGAACACTAAAATTTCCGATAAGATTACATCGAACAGTAAGAAAATAAATAATAGTGTAACCGTTCCAACATTTATATTTTGAGACTGTTCGAAGCTGCCAAACATAAAAAACTCAACAATACATAAATAAGATCAAAATTTCTCTTGGTTGTTCTCTTTTTTTTACTGCTAAACTACTGCTAAACCAAAAACAGATAATATAAAAATTTACAAAGCAAACCGCAATTTCAAAGTGACTATAAATTCACTTCCTGAATACTTTTGGCGGCACAAATTGTAGTAGCTGAGCAATGTCACTTTCGAAGAAAAGTTCCTTTCTACTAGAAACCCACGTTTCTCTTCTCTTTCAAATCCAGTGTGAACAGTTTTCACCATTTGATTCTTTATTACTCATTCTTCCTTTTAAACTGCCCTAACAAGAAAACATTTACATATGTATTATAAGCCGAAAATTGATTTGCAACCATCAAAAAGCCAGCTTGTTAAATGAAACTGTAACATTTGACTAAACCAGCTAACCATCTAAAAGTAATAAAATCACATTGCTGGAGCGACAACCTCCTACAACTGTTTGCTAAGGTTGCATTAATAACATATTCCAATAAACAACCTTCCGACTTGAAAAAAAAACGCTACCAAATAACTTACTCCTCAAACGGAAAAAGACCACCATTACCCCCACCATGTAAACAATTCTTTCTCCTCATTTTTTACACTTTTATCCAACTAAAAAAAGCCATTACCGCCACTGAATACATAATTTACGAAAAAAATTCCACTTACACATGCATCCAGTGAGCCGACAGAACTCAGGAGTCCCACAAGACTATACAACCAATTTCACTACAAAAACCTTCCCGTCTCCTCCCCTAACGTCACCTTGGGGACTGCAAGTGCCTGGGACATTTACAATATTTATAGCACATCCCATCCACTTCAGAAACAGATAGCTTCACAGGACGGGATAAACTGACAACACACAATCATAAAACCTCCAGCTCATAGCGTCAGAAACGTACATCCCTTCCTTCAAACCCCTTGTAAAACCCAAAATCTGATACGCAAAACACCACTATCCCGATGAAAGACACAACTTCCCCAGCAGCTTACCATCATACCCGCTGCAGGCAATGCTTCTTTAAAGAAATAAACTAATTAAATGCCCATACAAATGTTATTTTAAAACAAGTAGTGTATTTCAAAACAATCAACGACAGAATTTAAACTGTACGCAAATCAGCACGACTAAACACGTACGAAAAAAAAAATTACTGATAGAGTTATCTTATCAGCTCAAATGAAATACATGTTTTTTAAAATCAAAGGACACTAACCAATCCAAAGCAAAATATCTTTGTATAAGGAACAAAAGAATATTAAAAAAATATAATTTGTGTCCAAACTCCTGTTCAATCAGAACTGTAGTTATCTGACAAATAAAGACCACATCTATCAAAATGATCATTTAGATCTCCAAGATATTCCGATCCGCTGCTATCGAGGGGAGAGTTATCAGTATCTGAATTCGAACCGTCCTAAAAACAAAACACTTATACAATGACCCTAAGCTCTTAGCTAAAAATGAACAAGTGCAACGAAAGAAGAATGAAAAGCCCACATCAGATTCCTCTTCTGGATAATCATTTCTCCAGTTATCTTCCCTATTGGAATCATCATCGTCATCGGCTCCTGTGCTACTTTCTGTGTCTTCGCCAGCATACAATTCAAGCTCTTCTGGTCTGGCTAACCTCACCTTCAAAAGCTTTCCCGGATGGAAAACTGGGTAGAAAGACATGCAGAGTAAACAATAAGAATAATGTGAAACTTTTCAATTATACCATATACTGATCCGCGTTGTAATTAAATCCGTTGGCGTTCCAATAAAAGTCAAAGACAAAACTGTGATCCTTAAAATTGAAGTATTTTTGGCAATATTGTCAAAGAAAGTAAAGCAGTAAGTGGTATACTTACCTCAGCTTGTGCATTTACAGGGATTAGTGCAGTGCCATTTAAGGTAACTACACGACCTGTATTTTGGTCATTCTTTTTAGAACTCTCATCTGGACCAATCTCACCAACCGCGTCGCTTACGGCCTGAAGATAACCAGTTTCTTGATCAACGGTTTCTTTCTCTTCTGTATTCGCTACGTCCGGCTGATTTGATGGATCAAAGTCAATAATACTAAGCTGAGTTCCATGAGTCATTTTACCGATTGTGGAAACATCCTGTAAACCTACATGAACTCTAAGAGGCTACAAAACTACGCCAAAAAAAGATTAATAAAAATTAATGTTGAAACCAGTTAAACTTGAGATTAAAAAATAGGCTATCCTAACCGGGACTTCAGATGTGGTCGCTAACTGGTAAAGCATTGGTGCAACTGGTTTAGTAGGAAAACCTATTCGCGGTCGCTTTAATGAAACAATTAATGCTTCATGCGGGTCTGCAGTCCGCTTACGTTTAACACGAAATACATATAAAGGAGGAAGGACTCCGTCTGCTGAGGCCATTTCGTCAACACGTAATACTTGGGAAAAGGGAAAAGAAAGAATAAATACAACCAAACAGAACAGTAAATGAACTATACAATGTTATTCGTTCGTCTCACGACGTTCTTTTATTGCCTCCTAAAACGTAATCCGAATTACTCAAAGACCAAGAAAAAAACTTTAAAAGCAGCAAATTAAGAATTGAATTTTATTTCTCCAGCTCCTCTAGAAAAATGCTTGGTTTGCGGTAAACCGTGGACCTTCGGTCGCCTCACGACTAAACAACCTAGAAAAATTAAAAAATCTTGATTAGAACTGACTCTGAACCTCTCTTCAAGTAAAGAGAGCTCTGCCATAAGATCTGTAATTGCACTACTGAGCGCGTCTGCTGGGGTCGTTTCTGGTACAGTTCGTACTCGCAGAATGAACTTGTGCTCCAATGGATGCGGATTCTTATATCCAGCAAAAAGAACTTGTGGATCTTTCAGTAACTGACTAAAACAAAAACTACCGGTACAATGCCAAAAAGCTAATGATTCTCTGTTTTGTTGCATAATGTGCAAGCATAGGTGTAACAAAAATTAGTTGCATAAAAAAATATTTTTTTTATTTAAAATAAAAAACGTCGGTAGGCCGTTCTTTATTTAATTTTTCTTTTCTCTGGAATAAAAAACAATTATTTAGGTACTTACTGCTTCAATAAATTCCCAAGGGTATGATCTTCTTTGTTCACAGTGAATATCGTCGTATTTGGAACTTTTGTCCCTTTTTCAACAGTAATCTTCTTTTCTCCGTCAAATATAAGAAATGACTCAAATGCAGCTGGTGCGTTCATTACCCAACCGAAAACAAACGATACAACCCAGTCAAAAATTTACTCAGTTATGGGACAAGAAACCATAAAAGCTGACGACGCCTAGTAAACATATGTACAGCATAAAACCATTACAGCGTTACCAATTCAATACTATATTAAACAATATATCACGCTATATCAGTTAACCCTTCGAACAGAAAACAAAGTACTGAAGATTTGCAAAAATATGACTTCTACAACGAACCGCCAGTTATCAAACGAAAAAGCTTGGACGTTGAAGTGTCCTTTGGCGCATTTACGTAATATTAATTTATTCGCGCCGATCATCAACGTTTCAAAGTTTCACCATATTGAAGCGCAAAATTATTTTGAAGGTTATTGTACTCCATAAAAAGTGCTTAGGGCAGCCTTAACTTTTGTTTCGGATTTCAGTAAAATCTCTTGCCCATTTCAAACCTCAACAAGTCTACTTTACTGGAAAATTGCCCTATCCGTATACAACTAAAGGTTTCTTAGAATGTTTGGTTCTTCATATTTTGGTCATTGCTTATATTTCATATTCAGTTTTCGTATACTTTACGGCAGTTGACCAATCGGTGAACCGAAACGATTAGAGTGCCGAACCGTTAAATTTGCATTTTTATACTGATTTGTATTTCATCAGTTTTTCCCAAATAAAATATATACTTGTAGTTTAAAACAGCTGAAGATTATAGTGGGTTTAGTACAAAAAATTTTTTTCTGGATATTTGAAGGAAGAAATCACAGAATCTTTAAATTAAGTATGGTAGCTTATTAAATGAACTTGTTACCAATTTACTTGATAAATTTTTATGCTGTGAACTTATTCTGAGGTATCAATTGACAAAAATACTTTCCCAACAGTGTCTGATATATATGATGTAGAAACTTTGACTATAAATTTTTGTTTTATTACTCAGCGCCAATTTCTAAACATTAGCTGCTTCTATAATCTATTCCATGCTTGCTTCCCGTAAGTTTAGTTTAGCACTGTTCATTCAAAATAGTCGTGTGTGGTTTCAATACAGAAGATTGCTATAAGTCCTTTAAGCTTTCATTCGTGATCATTTAAAACTTTTGTTGGTATATATTAGTTAATAATAACTATTTAGGGTGATGAGCACATTGTGTGTTGTGATCGACTGTAATGCCGTTAGGTGGGGATCAGCTGTTGAAAGTTATGGCGAGGCGGTCTACAAAACGATTCTTTCTGGTACCGTTGCATTTGTCAACGCTCATCTTTCCTTGTCGGCAGAAAATGTGGCTGCAGTTATGGCTGCAAGTTCACCATTTAAAAATCCATTGCTGACAATATCGGACCAAGCTACCGAGGTTTACTTTATAGTCTTTTATGTCTAGTTATTTTCTTGTTTGCTGATCTGAGGGGTACCTATTTTTGGTGATACTGTAATGTACTTCTACAATATCTGTTTAGAATCCTGACTTCACCCTTCATACTTTACAAAAATTACAAGAAACTTTGGCTGCTTCAGCTCGCTCAGAAACTAGCTCTCGATTAAGCCACTTTTCATCCGCATTAGCTGTTGCATTCTGCCGTAAGTCAATTGTTCGACTTTACCTACCAAACAGTATTCCTTCTAACATAGTACGGCTTTTCTTGGGGTGGTTTAATTTTACCTTAAATAATTTTTAGATATCAACCGACTGAAGCGTTATTTTGGTAATAAAGGTCGAATATTGATTGTTAGCATGGGTGGCGATTTTGCAAGCGAAAGAAATAGTCTTATGAACATATTTTTTGCAGCTCATAAGCATGAAGTTGTTGTTGACGTTGCTAATATTGGTAAGCTTTCCCAACGCAGAAGGACGGTTCTCAGTTTTATGTCACAAGTTTCTTCTTTAATGTTTTGTTCAGTTTTGATCTGCATCGGTATTTTTGATTGTGGAACGTAACGTATTTTCTGCATTTCGATACAGCTTTCTAGTTTTAACTCGTAATTTCCTCTGAGCAATATAAAGGTCTTGATTTATTTAAAGTATAGTTCGCTCATACCGTGGCTTAAATTTTCAAGAGAGATTTTTTAAGGCTGTACTGACTTTCAGAAAATGAATTCAAAAAGTCTTCCTTTTTCTTCCATGCACGAGTTTATGCTTTATTTTCTATAGGTAAATCGAACCCAATTTTACACCAAGCATGCGACATAACTGGTGGGATACATCTTGAAATTGAGGATCCAACCATATTTATTCAGAGGCTGCTTGTAAAAATTCTCCTTTATTTGAGTGGTTCATTGTTGCTTTACGATTCGTTTTTAAATTGGGCACTATTTTTTCAAAGCACTTTTTCGAAAAGAATTGCTGCAGTCTTTTACATTTTTCCTTGTCTTTTTGGTCGTTAATAACATTATTAATTTCAAGGTGCATTGCTTGGGGTCATCTTCTCTCCGTTCTATGTTTGCTGAAGGTGATTCTTCGGTTGTCGATTATCGCACTATTTGTCACTGCCATGGTAAACCCGTCGAGATTGGTTACGTTTGCTCTGTGTGCCTTTCAGTGAAATGTCAGTTTAGTCCGATCTGTTCAGTTTGCAAGTAAGTAAATCTGAATCTATTAAAAGATTATATGAGTCATTCGACGCTTATCTAATTTTTTAGCACGGTTCACAAGATTGAAACTCTGCGCGCCAAGAAAAGACGACGGGAGGAGTAAATATATACTTGTTTTTTGCTATATAAAATCACTTTTGTTGGATCATTTGCTTTGTGGGACGCTTGATTTTGGCGTTTGTTTATATTTGTTGTATAAAACGTGCATTTTTCGTCAAAAAGATCACTGTCATTCTTCCTGACTATCGCTAATGTCGTTCGAGTCACATTTTCTTAAACCTGTGTTCGCTTTCAGCTCCATGCGTGTAAGTCGTCTTAAAGTAGCCTTCATTTCGAGTCATCGACATGTAAGAAGTGTACACTTTTTTGTGCGTTGTTATAACTGTTTACATTAAAACTATTTTCCTGTTTCCGATCAAGGGATTTTTTCTGTTGATAGTACATGTGTAAATAGACTGAAATTTCTGCTGAAAATGAATGCCCTGCGTACCAGTATGTTGATTGTTTATTTTTTAAAAATTGGGACATAAACTTGTGTTTCTAAATTGTTCCTTCAGTTTTGCTAGGTGTATGCTGCAGTTTATCGCATTTTTTCGTTTTAATAGTTGAGTAAAGACTATTGGCTTTCCCTACTTATTAGGAGCTTAGATGAAGACGGCCGAACCATTGCTTTTTCTATAGAAAAAGTAGATCTCTTAATAAGTTTTTATTTTTCATTTCAGATTTTTCGAGTCGGGTAAATTGCCTATGAATTTCTACTTTCCTGCTGCTGCTGTTATTTAGCGTCTAGAATGGTTTCACCATCGTCGTTTCAGAAATCCGGGTACAACTATATTACTGAGTTTAATCGAGAAATTTTTTTTAGTGCTTTAGATTCCTTTACTGGTCCGAAGGTTATCGTTTGGGATCCGAAGTTGATAAAGAGGTTTGACTTGGTATGGTGTTGCTTTTATATTTGTGAATAAAAAAAGCAATTACTGTTAAACGAGCAAACAAGTTTTTGCACTTCTTGAACGAGCATTTTCGTTCTTTATTACCATCTTTTTCTAACTTTCTTATTCTATTGCTCAAAAAGAATTACAAGTTGTTCGACTTAGATAATTTCGGTCGAGGCTTATAAATTCACTAAGATTTTATATTAGTCTTGAGCCATTATAAAGATTGATGAAGTTTTAGGTTGCAAAAACAGAACAGTTGAAACAGCATGATGTGGTCTCTATGCTACTCATGGACAGTGGTCCGCTTGTAGCATCACAGGAACATAACCATGTTGTATATGTTCTGGAGGGGAATATTAAGGCTGCTAGGAAGTTATTAATACATTTGAAGCATGTCACCTCTCAAGACGTATGAGTTTGCTGTTTTGTTTCGGCAGCTTTTTTATATGTTTCTTTCATCATTGTGATCAGTGCCGTATGGCAGTCATAAATAGAAGGAACGATATGCTAACATTTTTTAGGCAGACCACTTTTTACCGCAATTAATTTTCAAGGAAAAAAACATTGTTGCAGTCGGCTTAGTTTATTTGAGATACCATATAGTTTTTAAATTATCTCTAAAGCTTGTTTATCCGGCTTTATAGGCATGTTTTTGAATCTGATAGCTTTTTTTTAATTCCTGCATCATGTGAAGATTTTCCTCAGGACCGTCGGCTGTACCACGCTTTGTTTGTTCCTGACGCTTTGGCAGCGATTAGGGAACGGCTAAATGAGGACGAACGGACAAGTTTTTATCTGAAAACAGTCATGTCACTTCCACTTCGGATTTACCCACTTTACGACGACGTCTTTTCTTTTTTTATGCCCGATATTGTAGCAAAACTTTTAATCCATAAAGTATCATTTAACCATTGTTGCCATGATTCTTAAAAATTTTTGTTTTTCATCTACATTACTATATTTGTAAAGCAGTGTTAAGTATAGTTCTTTTTTTAATGATGGAGAAAATCAGTTCTAAAGATTTTTCGCGTAAAACTTTTCAAGGATTGGACGGAGCTATACAGGTGTGCTACTGCTATCTTGCAGTTACAGTCTATGTGCAAAAGAATTCCAAATTTGCACTGTTATGGGAAGTGGGCGGCGCAGACAGCCAGAATTTTGCGAGAGATTAGTACAGAGGTTTCTTCATGTGTTGAACGTTAAGCTATTTTAATTTACAATATAGTGAATTAGTTTTGTTAACATTTTTAGGAAAGTAAAGGGCTTAGTGCTTCTGGTGAATGGAACGTTTCTGACGTCGTTGTTATCGATAGATGGTTGGATCCACTTACTCCCATGTTATATCAGTACACTTACGGGGGCTTGGTTGACGAAATTTTCACTATTTTACCTTCTGGTAAATTAAATGATCATAATAAGTTGCAATCTTCTTAGTGCGGCGTTGTGAAGTTATGAGCCTTGTAATAATGTGAAGCTGACTAAATTAATTACCAAGGAGGCATTATGACTACACTGTTTGCTAGTAAGAATGAAGAAAGCAATGCTCCCAAAGAACGGCAGTTAAGTGACGACCTTTACCAACGTCTACGCGATTTACACATCAGTGATGTCGGCAAAACTATTTCTTCAGAAGTTAAAGAAATTAAAGAAGTTAATCAGGCTAGTTTACCATCTTTGAACTTCTCTTTCATTAACAGTTGAGTAAATAAAGTTTGCTTTTTGTAACTTGAAGGATCTTCAGTTACTAATGAAGATTTGCCATAGTTTAGGGACTGAAGGAAACTTGGGATGCGTCTTTGACGCAAACTAAAGTGCTTATCCGCAAGCTTCAAGAGTTAAAAGTAAAGGAGCGGGATGCCGAAAAACATACAGTGATTGCGGACCACGTGACTTCTACACTGAGAAGTGATAAGAGATTCAGGAAGATTGCTAAGTTTGAAAAAGGTTTGTTTCATATTAGTTTTCTTATAGTATTATAGCAAATTTTATAAAACTTGTGTTCATTTTCGCTATTTTCAACTTATGGAAGTTGTTTTCTGCAGAGTTGTTGAATGGGGATTACGGAGATCGTGTGGTTCCTTTTCTCGAAGATTTAATTGCCGAAGCTTACAATCCTGAGAGAATACTCTCTCTTTTGAGCATACAGTCTCTAGTCTGTGGTGGTCTGAAGCCTGCTACGTATAACACTTATCTGCGTCTCTTTGTCCAAGTATATTTTTTACCGACCTTATTAAATATGGTGCAATTAAGAGAAATGTTTTTGAATCTAAATTTATTGTTGTCGGCATGAAAGCCAAAAAATTTTCGATTTGTTTAAATTTCATTTCAAATGGAAAAAAAATTGAAAAATAGACATTAATCTAAAACAACTGATCACTAACTTTGACCCTTGTTTATCCTTCGCCGAGCAAAGCCCACCTCTTTTATCATCCCAAAAAATCCTTCTTCATAGCCTGTTTATGCTAAGGTTTTTAGACTTATGGCATATTCAACATAACAAAGTGGATCAAGCTACAGCTGGCAGGTCTTTTATTTGCAAAGTCATCAAAGATTAAGGTCTGTTTTAAAACTAATTTTCCAACTATTATAAGTGAGATTATATTTTACTGAACTGGAATTATAAATTTAGTTATTACCGACTAGTCAGAAGAATTCAAGATTTTGGTTGTCATATTTAAAGTTTGAAGCAAAATATTTTATCTCAAATGAACATCTATTTAAAAGTGGGAACGAGGGCGCACTAACATCTGGAAAGAGGATGTTCGGGAAGAAATGCTAAACTTGAGATTGTTTCGCAGTTTTTTAGGACCCCTGAAATATTTTGACTGTCACTAAAATTGCTGTACAAAAGTAGTTGCTCTAAATATGACAGATACTTTTTTGACGGTTGAGTCCCCAGCTTTACATTAATTAATAATTGACTGAAATTTTTTGAAACTAAATAAATAACGATCAATTTCTTTGGGCAGCCTTTTTCTGAATATTTGAACCAGTAATGAGTTGAGCTCGGAATGAAGTTGATCGTGAGCAAGCCCTTGCAGTTGAGGACTTTTCAAAAGCCCCTGAGGTCTTTGTCACAGCTAATAATAGAATTTTTTCTTTAATAATTATTGATGTCTTGGAAAACTGTTTGGACCAGAATTTTTTCAATTTAATCTTTTTGTCGAGACTTTGTAACGTTGCCAAAATTTTTTCAGTGCGATTATTCTGCTTTTGACTTTTACCATATCAACAAAAAATTCAGCTGCACCGATCCAGCGGTACGAATTGATATCACTTGCTTCTCAAAACCCATATTTATATTTAACTTTATAAAACCTTTTTCATATAGAATTTGCAGAATGAGTGCAGTGCCTCATATCCGTATTGTGGGTACGTTCCACCTTTGGTACGGCTTGTTGAAAGTGGCGTCAGAAATGGATGGAAAGAATGGACCACTGTGACATCTCCTCAGCAAGTTGTTAACGATCCGGAAGCAACAACAGTAGTTTGTGTTATAGGAGGACTAACGATGGCTGAGATTTCTTGTTTGAGAAGGATAAAATTCTCTAATAATCTGACAATTTTGGTTTCATCGGTAGTCACTGGTACTCGAATGCTGAAGTCAGTGTCCTCTTTGTAGTAATAAAGTATCGTGTGAACGAGTTATAAGTCATGACTCATTTGTTTCTGCTTGTAATTTCATTTGTAAGAAGCAATTTCCCGTGGATCTCTCCCGCTTATACAACTATTAGTCCTGGAGCGCTAGGGAACAGTGTTGGTTATTTTATGCTGGTTATCTGTTCAAAAGAAGTTAGTGTGCTCTAGCTACAGTATTCTTGCTGATTCTAGCTCAAAATAGGGAAGTTTAGGTATTTTTCCTCTAGTTTCCTCAACCTTTTTTGAGTAGATT